CTGCTCCCCCCGCACCCCTGCTGCCGGCAGCGCCGGCGGCCAGCGTGCACCTCGGGACGGGCCCGCGTCCGCGGAGAGGGAAAGCTCGGAAACGCAGACACCGAGATGAAAAAAAAACACATTGACGAGTTGGGATTTCTGGGAAGGGAAGGCAAGCGTGGCGTTTCGGTGGCAGGGGAACGAGGGAGGTGGTGACAGTGGGCATTGTTTTGGAAAGCAGGGCACACAGGCGGGTGGGTTCATCCCGCCCGTGGCTGTAATAGGGTTACGCTGCTCTCCTTCTCTTGAGGCTCTCGCCTTTTCCCTCCTCTCCTTTCAGTTGTCTTGTTGTCTCTTAGTGCACTAGAGTATGATCAATCAGGCAATTTCAGCGCAGGATTTTTATTCAGTTAACCGCGAGTCACTTTCATCCGCTTCCTCCAGCCCCACCCCTCGCAAGAATTAGGGATTCTCTATTTATTTATTAATCTAGTGAATACAGTTATCCCATTAGTATATCCATTTAAAGTCCCTGGTAATACCCAAGAAAAACTAATAGAGTTGCCTTGCTTTTTTCTTTTTCTTTTTTCCCCCAGTGAATTAACGTTAAGCGATGTTCTGCAGACTTGCAAGCGGTCACTTCCACATCGGGGTGCTGGCTGGCCTCACCAGCAGCGCTGAACCTCTCCGGCAATTGTCCTCTCTCCCTAGAACAACTGCGTATAAACGTTAAGACTTTATCAGATGTCCCCAAATTATCAGGTTAGGCAAACACAGGGGGGAAAAAATTATCAGAAAGTTTGTGTCTACTGAATATGAAGTATTAATCTTGCCATTAATTTGTACGTGGTGTCACCTGCGACGTCTCCCCCGGCCGGCCCCTTTGCACACACGCCGGGGGTGCTGCCTAAAGCCTGAGCTCGGAGCAGAGCAGAGCGCGCAGGCACGATTTTTAAACCCCATTCAGGCTCGCAACCAACCGCCCGAGATCTGCTTTGTTCAGCAGTCACTCCGGTACTTTTATTCTTTATGGCTGTTTTATTAAAATGTGGATAAAGCAAAAGGCAAAGGATAAAATTAAATTTCATTGACTGTAAATTTCTAAAACATCCCTCCAATAAAGGATTTTTCCTTTAATAACAAAAGCGTCTTTCCCATCTTTTCGCCTGTCTCAGCGTATAGTCGCAAGAAGAGCGGGACCGCGTTAAAATCTCTGTAACTCGACCCCCGTATTTCCTAAATCACCGATTTTCTGAGTCCTGCGTGCTGCCTTTTTTCTTAAACACAAAAAAGTTCTCCCGGGGCCGGGGGTGGGGGGATCCGCACCACCGCCCGCTCCCCGGCGCTGACCATTTTAAAATTTAAATTTGGCACTAATGATAAGTATAATCATCGCAATCATCATCAGCACCGCCGCAACGCAAAGATGCATCCTGTTAGCCTCTGACATCAATCAGCCGCGCGGGGAAAGGGAAAAAAAAAAAAAAAAAAGGCGGGAGAGCCCCCCCCCCCCCCCCCCCCTCCGCGGCCCGCCGGCAGCAGCGCCCGCCCGCAGTTAATTCCCCGCGTTATTATGTCATCCCCGCGCTAATCCCGGCCCTCGCACCTCCGACACTTTCACATGCAAATCGGCCGGGGAGGCGCGGGGGCCGCCCGCGCCCGCCTCGCGCGTAACCCCCCCCCCCACCACACCCACCCACCCGCGGCCCC